GCCCCGCCCCCCTCCACCGGGGTTTGGGGGGGGCGGGAAAGGGGCGTCGGAGCTCTCGGCCGCGGGTGGGAATTTGCCGCGCGACAATTGACTTGAGGTCGCCTGGCAGGTTGGGGGAGGCGGTACGGCCGTGGCGTCGCGTCCCTTCACCCCTTCGCGCTCTCCCAGAACCCGTCCCGAATTCCGCCTCGTACCCAGGAGGGAGAGAGCCCGCCCAGTGCTACCATGGTTCTGCCAAAGGAACCCGCCGAGTTTCGCGGAAGCCGCCCAAAATGCGGGACCGTTGGGGCTTGCGTACACGCAGCTGGATTCTCCCCGTGACGTTGGAAAGCTTTACGGCTTGTATCGACAACGCTGGGGACCGATGGGTTTGCAGTTAGGCTGATTTTACCTCTTCCCAGCGCATCCCAAGTGATTATCCAGTATGTCTGGCAAGGCACAGGAGATATGGGAGCCCATCTGCATTTATAAAGGGCCTTCGATTTGCATTGGTGTCTGCTGCTCCATGAGGGAAAACAAATCCCCACAGATCTGGGTGGGTTTTCAGCTGGAAGCCCGGGATCTCATGGAGTGACCAGGCAGCACAGAGCCCGTACGTGGCAGCAGGTAGAAGAGTTCATCATAGAATCATTTTCGTTGGAAGACATCTTTAAGATCATCAAGAGCAACCATTAACCTAACACTGCCAAGTACACCACTAAACCATGTCCCTAGCACCACATCTGCAGGTCTTTGAAATCCCTCCAGGGATGGCGCCTCACCCTGGGCAGCCTGTTCCAATGCTTCACAACCCTTTTGGTCAAGAATTTTTTCCTATTAGCCAGCCTAAACCTGCCCTGGTGCAACTTGAGGCCATTTTCTCTTTTCCTATCACTTGTTACTTTGGAGAAGAGACCAACCCCCCACCTCCCTATAACCTCCTTTCAGGTAGTTGCAGAGAGCGGTAAGGTCTCCCCTCAGCCTCCTGTTCTCCAGGCTAAACAACCCCACTTCCCTCAGCCACTCCTCATAAGTCTCATGCTCCAGACCCCTCACCAGCTTCATTGCTGTTCTCCTGACATGCATCTCAATGTCTTTCTTGTAGTGAGGGGCCCAAAACTGAACACAGCATTCGAGGTGCGGCCTCACCAGTGCATGGCCAAAGGCAACACTGGCTTCCAAATAATGCCCAGTGGCTCTTACTTGTCTCCGGAGTGGCATTTAACTGCATTTCCACTGTGGGTACCAGCCACCCAGCCCACGAGGTCTGTGTTACCCATCGTTCACTCCCACCATATATATTAGTCAGTGCATAAATCATACAACCACTGGTGAAGTAAGCGATGAGGTCATGAGCTGCGGAGGGGATGAGGCCAAGCCGGGCAGCGCCTGCCTGGCCTGGGGCACACTCCGAGCGCCCACGCTGCTGTGCTCGGCCCCGCCACCTTCGGCTCCTCTGCCCCCCAGCTTCGCCCAGCCTGGAGGCAGCTGAGCTCGAGACTAACGTGTCGTTCACGAAGAAGAACCCCCACTGGCGTGGCCGCCGAGCACTGAGGCGTCAGGAAATGCCAGCGACGGGAGGTGCTCCTGACACCATAACTCAGGCCCTTTGCATGTCTGGGATGTGATCGCCTGCTTTTTCCACCAAAGGATGTTTCATTTATTCCGTGCAGATATTGCGGATATTGACCTCGTTTCCCAGGGTTGCGATTAGAGTGGCAAGCGCTGAGCAGCCCTCACTGGGCTTGGAGCTGTGCTCTGACTGTGCAAATCACGGGAAAAATGCCAAACAAGGACGGTAACGTCAGTCTCCTACCTACTGCATGGGCCTGGGGGAGCACTCGGTGTGGGGATGGAGCTCCATGGGGGCACCTGTGGCTTTGCAGGCAGCCCCGGGGCTGGAGCGGTGAGTCCCAAACAGCTAGAAAGGAAATCCTAAGCCACTTGCCATTTCACAAAGGAGTCAGGGGTCCTGCAGGAATCCCACTGTGACCACAGGCTGCCAGGGCTGTGACTCCCGCGCAGGGCTTTGCGACTCCAACACTCTTTTCAGCATTGGGTGTTTGGTGGAGCTTTTTCCCAAATGTGTTTACATAATTAGAGTGAAAATAGGACATGGAAAAATAAAGCCCGTTCTCCTAAAATGTGACATTGTCGGCTTGCCTGCAACCGGTGGTGGGGACGGTGCCACCACCCAGGCAGACATCTCCCCTGACGCAGCACTCAGCCACCAAGGTCGACCCCAATCCCGTTGTCTCTTTGCGCTTTCCACAGATCCTGCTTTGTTTTCTGTCCTGCCCAAAGACGGTGTCGGTGGGACGCGGTGGTGGGACCCAAGCCTTGGACGTCCCTCTTGACGATGGGGCTGTGCACAGGGTTTGGCACCCGGGTTTGGGGCCACCAGAGGTGGGCAGCCAGGCAGCCACGTCCCCCTGGCACCCTGTCCCATAGCAGCAAGGGGAGGTCAAGGCTGCCTCGCAAGCGGCCACAATTTCAAATAAGCGAGGTCTCGGTGTGAACATCTATGATTTATGTGCATTTTCAAAGCCCCATGTGAACATCTTTTTGGTCCTTAAAATGTCGCTTTGAAGTATGTGCTGTTCGTTATCTGCCTTCTGTGGGGTAGGGAAGCTGACAGGTTTCGAATGAGATTTTAAATATCTTATTGCAGCATGCGTGGCATAATCCTTTGTCACGTCTGGCGGCACAGCCATTCAAACCAGACAGCCGTGCTTATTTGTTTATTTACATGTGGCGAGTCTCTTTGCCCTTACACCTGTACCCCAAAAGCAGACTGTAAAAACAACCTGGCAAAGGATGACGATTTTGGCGATGCTAGAAACCAACCTGCAGAAGCACTGCTGGCAGAGCAAGCCAGGCTCGGTGGCTCTGGCCATCACACCGATGCCAGGAGCCGAGGGACGGCAAAATGGATGCGAGGCGGATGCGGTGCCTGTGACACCCTTCTGCCTCCCTGCAAGTCAAAAGCAGAAGCACTCACTGCTCGTTTGAGTAGAGGGGTAGACGGCCAGCAGTGCTGCACTATGCCTCAGCTTTTCCCAAATACCGTGTAAGTCACGCGCGTGGTTTTGCTTCCGACTTGCTCCAAATACCCATGAGCATCCGTGCCCCGAGGGATGGCCACATAAAGGGAACAGCTGTCTTCTTGGGAGATGGAGAGAGGGGAGGTCAAGAAGCTGTCTGCTGTGGCAAGGACGGCTTGCAGAAGGGAAACTGCACCAGAGGGAAGGTATTTCCCCCTACCCTGTGGAGATGCACTTCCATTTCCACCTTCCTCCGTGACACAGCAGCTCCGGCGCTTTCCACCGCCCTGATCCGAGCCATTGGGAGGTCAGGGAAATGTTGCTAGATCATTTCAGAGGGATGCCGCTGGCCAGTAACTATCACCTACTGGAAATGGCATTTCACTTTGAAGAGCGTATGGGGAGTATTAGGAAGGGAGAGTACGTGTGCTGCCATAGCCATGCTACTTCGATCGGAAATACAAATATCGGCGTCTTACAGGTGACTTCTGGTTTCATGCAGGTCCTCCACCTTCCCCGAAATGAAAATGTCAGGTCAAAGGTGAATGACAGCATGAGGCTTGAGTGGATAAACCATTTTTCTGCCATTTGCGTGGATTGGAGGAGAAGTGGAGGGAAAGGTTTTTGAAGTATAGGTACCGAGCTCCCAGGAGTTGCCTTTAGAAAAGGCTTTGCCTCTGAGATGCCTGGGGATGAGCGTGGTCCAGAAAGCTCAAAACTTGACAGCCCTATGCTCGAGGGAGGAAGGGAAGAGCACCTCGCTAATTGTTTACTATTCTCCTACTCCCCCAGGACACGGCGACATTAAATGACATGGGGAAAAGGGACGCGGGGGTGGGGGAAGCGAGAAGCTGTGGAAGGTGGAGGAGCAGAAGGGTTTCTGAAATGTACCAGACAAAGGCAGCTTGCCGGCGGCTGTGGTGTCTCTCCGAAACACTGAACCACTGTTCTCCTCTACAGCGGGTTAGAAATCTGACAAATCCAGCCCATGGACTGGCCACCTTCGAGACTTTTTTTTTTCCTCTTTTTCTTATGAAGAGCCCTCATTGGTCTGCTTTTGGTGAACTGCCAAGCAATTCGCATTAATTTGCCTGACCAGCTGTAAGAACCCGATTGCCCTCCCGCGGCCCTCATTACGCACCCTTCCTGCCGATCTAAATACAGAAAGGTCAGGAGGGTGAGCTCCAGTAAATTACTAGAGAGGCACCCTTAATTGTTGTCCTGCATCGGCTTTATATCTCTAATGCTGTCTCCACAGTTTGGTCTCCTAAGGAAAGACTGGTTTTCTTGCTCCAGAAGAAAAAAGGACCAAGAAACCCTAGGGGGGGGAAACAGGCGATGGGGACTGATCACTTCGTGGCCAACCCCTCGTGGATGTTCTTGACACTGTGGACCTTGAAAAAGAAAATATTTCTTAGCTGTTATCAGTACCAGCTCCTTCCTGACATACATTTCACATGTCCAGAGCCTTGACAATTGCACTTGCTTGAGAGAGATGCTGTGACAGCTGTCCCTGCAAAAGCCTGGTCTATGCAGGACTTTCAATGGTGCTTGCACCATCACAGCTCTGCACACCTTCTCACCAAGCCCATAACAGCACTGAACGTCCTACTGCAGCACAGCAGCGGTGGCTTTTGCCAGGGACTCAAGCTGAGTGACTATTGCCTAGCAGACTCAGTTTTTAACTGCATTGATTTACTGATTGATTTAACAACATTCATTTACTGATTTAACCACATTGAGGTTACTAAAAAGTGAAAAATCCCTGGCTGCTATGATATTTCCAACCCACCCACTGGGTGCTGCATCCTCCCTGAGCACACAACCCCAACCGCATCATCCCCTGAGGCTGGAGACCAGGAGCCTGCACACAGGTATCCTGCACATTGTTTCCCACCTGACTTCCCTGCTCCTGAGGATACTCAGCTTTCCAGAGCATCTAGACAGCGATTTGTGTTTTTCTTCTCTTTTTCTTCTCTTTAATGAGGAATGCAGCTGTGGTTGTCTTCTTTGCTATGGTTGGTTTTGTTTTTGTTTTTTAACCCATCACCATGGTAAATGCAGGTGAGGAAAGAGCACAAAAACAGTGAAGAATCATCCAAGCTAAGAAGATGTTGTGGAGGGAAGGTGAATTCGAAATGCTTGGTTTCTCAATTAAGTTTTAAACTACAAAAATATGTTAGTTAAGAATCTGTACAGAATTAAGATCCTGCTGCTCCCACAAATCCCAACATCCTCCTTTTGAAGTCAGTGGTGGAACATCCTATTGCTTTGGCAGTAAGAAATCAAGCACATAAATAGTGATGAAGATCTGGGCTGATGCAAAATCCACTTGCTAATTAGAAGCTTTCCCCAATGGCATTGCCTTCTCCAAAATATGAACTTAAATTTAAGAAAAAAAAAATCATCAAACAACCCCCAAATCTGTCCTCCTCTAAGTCCCTGCTTTTTAGGAATAGGGAGATCACATGCTAAATGTGAGGGAGAATACATTGATGCCCTGTCATTTTCTTGATCCTGCAGGCAGGCAGTTTTAAAGTCTCTCTTACTTTTGACACCCAGACCAGCGGTATCACGCCACATTGCTGGGCCCTGTGCAGTGACAGTGGAGCATCTCCAGGTTCACTAGTGCTGTGTATTCATTAAAGCAATGGCCCATTACATTTGTGAGCAGTGTACTGAAATACAATGGAAATATTTGATGACTCAGCACACTGAGGGTGACAACAGGCTGGATTCACCATGGATCACTTCACCTGCAGCTCTGTAGGTATTTTCATCCATCCTCCCTTTATTCTGACCCTCAAAGCCCAGCATGAAGCCTTCATCCTACTGCATGCAGGTAAAAACGACACCAGCTGATTTTGAAAGAAGTTGATTTTCCTTGAAACTTTCTGAAGCACAGGCCGCAGACACATTTGATATTCAGTGCCCTTTGGGAAATGATGGGACACATCCCAAATATAGAGGTGATGGTAGAGTTGTGAGCTTTGTTCAGGGCCAGGCAGCTGAGGGGCAGCAAGTAGGCAGCCAGATGTGGCCAGAGATGAGGCTTAGCGAGCCCAGGCTGGGTACAGGGTTGGGAGAAATTGGGAGAAGAACACTGGACAGCTTCTGCCCTTGCATCTTTTTTGGCTGTAGAGGTTGATACCGCCCCCCCTCCCCCCAGCCCCCAGTTACGGCTTTTTTCACCAGGAGTTACCTGCCAACACTCTTGTTTATCATTGGATCTGTGT